CGTCGCCGCCGCCGCCGATTCTTTTTCAAGTTGACCACGCCGCCGCCGCTAAGCCTGTCGGCGTAAACCTCTACTATGCTTCTGTGCATAAGCATGCCATTTTGTAGATAGATAGATAATTGAACCAAGCAGCACCGGTCAGTAGGTCCACCACTACTATTCACAACACCTCAGCCAGCCCAAACGACTCTATAATGTAATTTTGTATACTACATATCTTAAATATTGTACGTCCTAGGCATGGGCGTAGCCAGGTAGGGGCGCGAGGGGTGCTCGATCCCCCCCTAACTTTCAAATTTTCCTTATATATATATAAAATAGTACCCTGAAATACCAGCTTCATAGGGTCGAGCACCCCTCTCCCCCCTAAATTCCATTCTGGCTACGCCGATGGTCCTAGGGGAGCTAGTAGTCCCTTTTACCTCTAAAACGAGCAATCACGAGGTACATAGAGAAATATCAAACCATAAAATTTCTAAGAGAGAAATACGGGGGTAATCTCAGGAGAACCTCTCCGAAACCTCCAAAAAAGGTAACAAGAGAGTACACATAGAAAACCATGCCACATTACTCCCGAACGAGCAATTTGGGAGTACTCTCATAAGAGTCATCCCGAAAGCCTCCTGTTCGAGGAATAAAACATGCATTTCTGTTCTCCCAAATTCCAGTTCATGGAGGAGGCTTCTCCTTGGGGTAGTCCCAGTATGCACGTGAATTTTCGGAATCGGAAAACTCTGTTTCTTTTCTGACGACTTCTAATAATAATATCCAATTGTTTCTTTTACCATTTGTTAATACTAGTGATTTTTATGGGACCCCCTATTAAATTTTGTTTTTGGTTTTTGGGAGGAACCAATAAAAATTGGTAAAAAATCTCGTTTATTGCTTGGAAATCATGTCCCAGAGAGCATGCTTTTACTGCTCACTTAGCAGATCCCCCATATGCCTCCTAAGCGCGTAATAAAGAAGAACAAAACCGACACATCTCGCTTATTGCTCCGAAATCAGGCCAAAGGGAGTACTCTTTTATTCCTCACATAGGGAGAACTTCACTCACTCACTTGGTGGGTGTGTACATAGGTCTACTGGCATAAAACACTTCCAATCAACTCAGCCGGCATATGGAGTGGAAAGGTTACCTACGCGTCCGAAAAGCCTCGAAAAAATCAAGTTAGCTGAGTCGATTCGTCAGTCGCGCCTATCAAACGATCTACAAGCAGCCATCCATTATCATTTCTCCATCATCCCTTTTTATGTGGCTATACGACGACGAAGCGTAGAACTTTCAGTGTTCATTTGCCAACCGTTGGCATCGGTTCTGGTTTTCGGTGGCGCTCTAATTCGTTGCTCTTTATTATTTAATACATACATTGCTCATTACAAACTTGTACTTGTGCTACATACCTACCTACCTACATAGTTTATTATACCGCTTTGAACCACACAATTCTTGAAAGTATCAGGTTCGAAGTTTTTTTAAAATTTCAAACTCGCAATACACTTGTGGAGTTTCTTATTTAAACTAAAAAAAAAAAAAAACGGCTGGACTTAAAGACTACATACATACATATGTATGTACATATGCTAAAATAAAAAAAATAAAAACACAAAGCGTGCTTCCTGTGAAACACGTGGGTTTTCTGCGAGCCACTAACTACACCGAGCGCGATCACTGTGATCACATTTTGCCAGACATCGCCAGAGAGCCCATACAAAAGTGCCTCACATAAGTATATACAAATGTATGTACATACGAATGCCTTGTATGAGCTTGTTTGAATAAAAAGTGGACCTACATACATAAGTACGGAGTGACTTTATTGATTAGTTAAAAAAAATCGCCCATTATCTACTAACGACATTCGGGTTGTGCCCTGTGCGTTGTTTCGCTATTGATGCTTTGTGGAAATAAATTTTAATTAAATTAAGCACTTGGCGAGTGTTAAAACTTATTGTCGATTAAAATTCGTACGTATATTTAAACAAAAAAGTGACAAAATGTCTTCGAAAACATCACTTGTTGGTGGCAAGCAATTGTTGGTCGTTGGCAGTGGCGGTCGTGAGCACGCGATTTGCTGGAAACTATCACAGAGTGAGCAGGTGGTCAAAATCTACGCGCTACCCGGCAGCCATGGCATTGCCCAAGTACCGAAGTGTTCCAATCTCAGCGGTGTAAATGCCAAAGACTTTCAGGTATGTAAATATTTTAAAGTTTACATTGTTTTTTTTTTTTTTTATTATTCAAACTAAGCATAGATTAGTACTTGCTTCCATGCGCTATGTAGTTGTTAGGTTGCTTGGTTTTTACCGGCTACAAACAGTTTTATTGGGTGAGAAAGCGCCAAACGTGAATAGCGACATTGAAATTTCTAAATCAACGCTAATGGGGAAATATTCTTACCTGCATACTATATGTACATACATATCTATGTATGTATGTATGCGTGGATGTGTGTGCATCCACTCATGTTTATATACAGTATCGGCCATATCTATAGCACGACATTTCAAAGTGAGATTGTCTTCTTCCACTTACATATGTCTTTTTATTTTTAAGAATTTTCGGGTGGAGGGGGTAAATTTGTAATAAAAAATCGCGCGATATGTCTGGAAGTATTGATTTAAAAAAAAAGCGGCACAAGCAAAAATTTGTAATAAAAATTTTCGTGATTTTTTATTACAAATTTTCAATATACATATGTATATCGAAGTATAGAATTTTTTAGAAAAAAGATCCGTAATTACTATTTAAACAAAGTTTTTCATTTCTTTAATGTGTTTTAATTCATAACATATTATTTGCTATAAAACGAAATGTATAATTTAAAAAATCTATGCAAAAATATATTGCCAAAAAACTTACAACTAAAAGGCACTTAAATTCGAATGAAAAACTACGAAATTTTATGGCTTATAGGTATAGTTAACTGCTTCGATAAGTTTTTGGAACGGATCTTCCCGATTTTTTTTTTTGTATGGACTTTCTCCATAAAACTCAAGAATTATGCCAGCGAAATTGGCAGGCTTGTTATAGTTGTCCGTTTGAAAATACCATTTGACGACCCGCCACACTGACTCGATGCGCTGGGTATGAGTCCCATCTGGAGCCACAAAAGGCTTGTCTGGGTCGCTGTGATTTGTCTTTTGGTGCTCATACCTAGAGCTCGGTAAGCAATCGTACGCCTTTCCGTAGTCCGTGCGAATAGTCGTACCTTCAGCTACATGCTTCTGAATTATGGGTATGAGCACCTCCGCCGATCGCACATTTTCCGGACACACTTCAAGTCTGAGGTCCTAAAGAGGTTTAAAACTATTAGTATTAGGAAGTCGTCCATTATTGGAAATCTCAGCCGAATTTTCAATTGGAATACAGTTTATTCTCTAACAATCTCATATACAACCAAGTTTAAAACTTAAAAAAAAACTGCAACAAATTTTCATTTAAATTTCAGATTTTTTTGAGTACACAGTTTAATAGCCCATTTTAGTCTGATAATGTGCAAGTTTCAAGTCGCTAAAAATTACGGTTGATGTTGAGCTTTTCTTCCACATACAAATAAATTAAGTTTATATTTTATATGGAAGCAAATGCGGTGAAAAAATTCAAACTAAAATTGAATGGACTATACCTATACTCGAAACAAATCTAACACTTGTGAGAAAAAAATTTGAAATTTGGGTGTAATTTTTTTGAATTTTATTGTAGTTTCTACAAAGTTTTAAGCTTGGGTTCATATGGGTTTTGTAAAAGAATGAACTGTATTTAAATTCAAAATTCTTAAAAATAAATAAATAAAAATAAGTGACAAACAATAGCGCTTTCGAATGGCGTACTATAGATATGACCGATACCGTATATGTATGTATATATATGCATATAAAGTAAATACATATGTATGTACGAACTTGTGTACGGCAAACATAGATAAATGATATCGCTTTAGCGTGAGTTGAAATTGTTCTATGCCTAATAATAGTGCTTTAAGCTTGGCGGTTATGGCGGGCAAAACGAGAAGACCCAACAAATTTTATTAAAAAAAAAAATGTATAATAAATATGGTCACCGTAATTATAAGGCTATTTTGTACTACATGTTAATAACATTTTTATTTTCTATGCTTTGAATAAAATTTTACTGAAAAGTACTGATTTTTATAGCAAGAAAAATTCTAAAGTACTGATTTCGCGCAAAAAAAAATCTGGCAACCCTAGATATAGGGTGTTTTTGAAGCGGCAGCTGAGATAGGACGTTTTCGAAATAAATTCTGAAATAGGGCGTTCTTCAATCAAATTCCTTCAATGTTTTTGCTCAACTTTAAGAAATTTCTCTTAAACTATTAATTTTACCAGTTTCAAAATGTTAAAACTTGAAGTCAGATATCAGATTACTACGAATATTGAAATTTCTTAAGTTGTGATGGGACAGAAAAAATTTGTGAAAAATCGCTAAAACAACAGTCATTTGTTGGGAAAAACTGGAGCATGTAGAACCGACTGTCTTATGCATAAGAAGACACCATGCTCTTAAGTAGACCGACTATACAAAAAATAATCTATTATTTATATTTATATTCATCAAGAACCAATCAACACCTTCGTCAACTCTCACTTCTTGAATTCCATCATCGAACACCAACGCCACCTATTGCAGACGAAGAGTTCGAGTTGCTTCGTGAGGCTGGCGATACTTTGACACAACAACATTCTTTAGCAGTTTAAACTGTTCAGTCCAATTTGAAATATCTTCAATCATCTTACATCCCTCTCCCTACATAATTAAGACAACATGTAGTTGTATTCACTGATTCACTGAAACGGATATTAACCAGAATTTTAACCTGATATCCGGATTTTTTCCGCATACAGGAATATTCGAACGAGTCGAAAATACGAAAGGTCCCACCCCCAATGGCACATTTAATTGACGGATGGGTTTGGTGGCGGTGTCCTCTATCGGGAACTCTTAGTCAAAGTAAGGCATATTGTTTTTGTAACAGCATAAAATCTCACTAAAGTGGTTTTGAGGAATTCTGCTAAGGTCACAAGTCCTGGGTCCCTACTGTCATGGGAGCGCTAAGTTAGGTTTCCAGATCACTTCAGCGTATTTTGAGCAGATGTACATAGCTGTCATTTAGGAAGCAGTCGATTGGCTACTCAATTGTGGCAAGATGGACATCTACTATAACAGTTTAGTGTGAGATTTTGGACTCACTATGCGCTCAAATTGTCCGAGGATGCATGAGCTCTTTCTCGGTGGTGTCTCAAAATTTCCTAGTTAGAGTTATGTTAACAATAGATAAACGTGGAGATTGATATATAATACATTTTAATATATAATACATTTTAGTCTAGGGTTAAATACAGTAACGCATCCAATTTACACTACCTACAATGTAGAGACCCTTTAAATACGTCGTTTTAAATTATTGCGGCTGGTATTTTTTTGCCTCCTGTTCTTTGTCAAACCAGTTTTTTGTGTATTGAAGCTGCTAGCCTTGTAGTTCAAATTTCCCGGATATGCTGATGTACGTAGCGGTGGCACAATCTCTGTAGACAACTTTGGTGTCACTCCGTCGATTTTCCCAAAGTTGAAGGGGTGTGTGCGTATGTATTCGATTGCTCGTAGCACGTAGTCGGGTGTTTTAGGAATGTGATCGCCCACCGGATGGTAGCCGGTTTCGTCAGCGGTGTAGGTCAATTTGATTGGCAAACCTTCGGGGGAGACGTAGCTGGAAGTGCCTTGTATGGCCACACCAGCAGTACCTTGCTCCGTGCCAATAATACCGTTGCCTGTTTCATACTGATAACGGTAACTGCCGTCATTGTTCATTTCCTGGTCATTCCGCAAAATTGACACTTTTTGGCCACTTGAAATGCTGTTTGGGCGGCTGAGATCGTTGCGCTTCTGTAAGAAGTTTTTGTTGCTAGCTAAGACTTTTGCTGGTTGTTTGCGAGCTGTTGTCGTTGTTGGTGCACGGTACTTCCCGCTAAAGGTTTTGTCTTCACGCGCGTTCGTGATCAGAGCCAAAGTGGTGAGAAGTAAGAGACTCTATGGAATGGAATTAAACACATTTTTTTTTTATTGCTGTACCTTTTTCTAAATTAAAAATGCGCAAAATTTCTTTTAAGGAATTTCTTACAAAGAGCTTCATTTTTTTTTAAATAATCCGTATACTCCGTAAGCTTCCAAGTCAAAACTGCAACTGTTGTTGCCAACCTGCCGCTTTATGTTTTTATACCGATCATTATGAAATGATGATACAAAACCATTTTAGTGAAAAAAACGGTTGGCGTCTGGTTTTTTAACATTTTTAGCTCCAATAAATTAAAATTTAACTTTTCGCACGCTCATTGGTGAACCAGTTGCGCTAATAAAAATCGACTGCGTGGGTCGGCAGCGAAGCAAACTCGCCATAGAGAAGAAGTTGCTCCAAATTGCAGCGTCTGCCTGAAAATATTTTGTTTGGACTTGCATGGAGTTGAAATGAGAATTCGAGCATAATGCGCGTAGTTAATAAAAAATTTGGTACATCTCATCAGCATTTGCATTTAATCATTTTATCAGCGTCAGTATGTACCAAACGATTTGAAAGATGTTGGCGGTATGCCAGTGCCGAGCGTGTGAGCAGTTCGCACCTAAACAATGTACATACAACAAGTTTTTGATTTATAGCCGATAAATAAGAATTCAGACATACTTAGTTCTGCACTGGTTTGACCATTTTCGCAGATGAAATTCGCTTATTTCGGAAGTTGTCAAGTTGGTGGTTATTTTTTTCTCAGTTAACCCGTTGATGTTTTTTTTTGTTCACATTTTTTATTAGTTTTACCTATTTTTGTGATTTATTAACTACTGGTCTGATTAAGCATGTATTGTATGTATTTTGTACGTACTCCATTACCCAGAAATTAGCAGAACTTTTAAAAACTTAGCGATCTGTTGAGTTTAGTTTTAGCCTCACATTTTCTTAAGTGACATTTTAATTGCAATGGTACCAGTGGTTGTGCGAAGTTATGCGAAGTATGCATAATCAGACCTTAAGCCCATGGTGAAACGAATACGAATGTATTCTATCGGTCTTGAACTAAGCCAATGTCAACTGATGTATTTTATTTTATTTTTTTCAAACATAGACTGGTCACAATTAGAATTCTCATACAGAAGTCGGCCGCTTAGTCTGTGGCGTTAGAGGTGCACACTTGGGTCACCATTAGAGATTTTTTTACGATTTATAGAGAAATTTGGAAAAACGCCTTTGTATTGAGATAAACGATACTGATACCATTTGCGATTTGGATTGTCAGCTCCTATTTTCTTTTCCAACATCATGCTGAAGAAGTCGTACAAAAGTGAGACGCCTTTGTTAGAACCTTGTTTCGTTTCGAAAAGTTTGGACGGTTTGTTGCCAGAAGTAAGTCCTCGAAANAAAGACGTATTTTATTTTATTTTTTTCAAACATAGACTGGTCACAATTAGAATTCTCATACAGAAGTCGGCCGCTTGGGCCGTGGCGTTAGAGGTGCATACTTGGGTCACCATTAGAGATTTTTTTACGATTTATAGAGAAAGTTTGAAAAACGCCTTTGTATTGAGATCAACGGTACTGATACCATTTGCGATTTGGATTGTCAGCTCCTATTTTCTTTTCCAACATCATGCTGAAGAAGTCGTACAAAAGTGAGACGCCTTTGTTCGTTTCGAAAAGTTTGGACGGTTTGTTGCCAGAAGTAAGTCCTCGAAATAGCATGTGTAAGCTATGCGGTCTTTTGGTTCTAGGCTAGATTGAATCTCAAACTGCTCGCATGTAAATTGTTCTACTCGGGCAGGTTCTGCAATTCACTTACGAGTGAATTTCAATCCCTGCCAATTTGAATTCAAAGCGAACTTGACTCAAATTCACTCGGAAGTGAATTGCAGAACCTGCTGGACTATCTCTTTTCTTCTGTATAAAAATTCGCCCATCTTCCTAATTTATTCTCGATATCGCTCATGACGCTAGATGTTTCCAGTGCGTTTACAATCATTTTTTAAAAGCAGGTACCAATTTCGCGATAAAAGAGAAACTAAAGTGATCGACTCTTCTTGCAATCTGACATCTAATTGCATTTTTAACAGTATTACAGAAAATGTTCTGAAACTATAAAAAGTTTGCAAATTCCTTTCCTTTTTCAGGGTATTGCCAATTGGTGTAAGAAACAATCNTTATAAAAATTCGCCCATCTTCCTCATTTATTCTCGATATCGCTCATGACGCTAGATGTTTCCAGTGCGTTTACAATCATTTTTTTAAAAGCAGGTACCAATTTCGCGATAAAAGAGAAACTAAAGTGGTCGACTCTTCATGCAATCTGACATCTAATTGCATTTTTAATAGTATTACAGAAAATGTTCTGAAACTATAAAAAGTTTCCAAATTCCTTTCCTTTTTCAGGGTATTGCCAATTGGTGTAAGAAACAATCCATAGACTTGGTTATCGTTGGTCCGGAGGATCCTCTCGCCAATGGGCTTGGCGACGCTCTCAATAAGGCTGGAGTACGTTGTTTTGGTCCCAACAAAAAAGGCGCCCAAATAGAAGCGGATAAAAAATGGGCTAAGGACTTTATGCTGCGTCACAGTATACCCACGGCGCGTTATGAATCTTTTACCGATGTGAAGAAAGCTAAGGAGTTTATTAACAAGTAAGTGTCGTAGAATCAAAGAGCTGTTGAGCTCATAATTAGCTAAGGTTTTTTGAAAAGGGACCCAATAACGGCAAATTTATCGACTTGCCTTAATCCTGACTGGCAAATATGACAGTGCGTTTAATCATAGTCAAGCTAGCTCTGCATCTAGAGATGCATATGTAATCTGAGACATGGTGCTCAAGTTCAAGTCCGCGAGCACTTTCACCCAAACCCATTTTCCAATCGCATATTTTTCTGTCGAAAACCACTCTAATATAAAGAAAATGTGGCTCACAAGCCTAAGAATACCCATTTTAACATGTTTTTTCTATCCTTTGGCTGAAAGCCGTTGCAGTTGTATGTATTCCTAGCGCTCGCTGAGCTGAAATGAATTCGGCGAGGATGCAATATTCTGGCGCCACACAAAAGGTCCAACATTCTTAACCAATTCTGATTGAATGGGTGTTTTCTCTTATTTTCTGATAGCCGCCACCTCCATCGACCCGAAAGCTTTCGACGCTTCCAAGAAATTTAGAGCCCAAACACTGAGGCTGTCTACGAAAATTCTACCACTGAATCTGAATAGCTACGAACGTAGCATATACCTTGAATGCATACGTTCGTAGTAACTCAGATTTAGTGAGCGCATTCTCGTAGATTTCACGAAAATCGGATTATGATGGATTCAGCGATAGCCCAGAATCTTACGGAACTAGCTTGCTAATCAACCAGTCTTTCATTTAACTTAAGTTACTACTTACTCCAACCACGGAAATTAAAGGGTGAAGTGTGGGGTCTTTTCCTTTACCGAAAAACTTTTCTCTGTACACATATGTACATAGTTTAAAATGAAATTTGGATTTAAGCCACATTTATTTGGATTCCCATTGCAGTGGAACTAAGTAAGAGACTTCTTAGGAAAAACTACATTCCAATCTACCATTCTGCTTTAATTTAATTTTATATTTTTTAAGCGCATCCTACAAGGCACTCGTCGTCAAAGCCGCCGGTCTTGCGGCCGGCAAAGGCGTAGTAGTGGCAGCAGACGCTGCCGAGGCCTGTCAAGCAGTCGATGAGATACTGGGCCAACGCAAATATGGCAATGCTGGCGAAACAGTTGTTATTGAGGAACTACTCGTCGGCGAGGAAGTTTCGGTACTCGCCTTTGTTGATACTCACTACGCTCAAGCAATGTTACCCGCGCAAGACCATAAACGTCTACGCGATGGTGACGAGGGTCCTAATACTGGCGGCATGGGTGCCTACTGTCCCTGTCCATTGATACCACCCGATGATTTGGAACGCATCAATCGAGCTATATTGCAAAAAGCCGTGGACGCTCTACGTCAAGAGGGTATACACTATTGTGGTGTACTCTATGCGGGCCTAATGCTAACTGCTGATGGTCCCAAGGTGTTGGAGTTTAATTGCCGCTTTGGCGATCCAGAAACACAGGTTATACTGCCGCTACTCGAGACTGATTTGTATGCAATAATGAGCGCTTGTGTTGAGAATCGTTTGAAGGAAGTTACGCTTCAGTGGCGAGAGGATGTAAGTGCCGTGGGTGTGGTCATGGCCAGTGCTGGCTATCCAGAGACCTCGACAAAGGGTTGCATTATCGAGGGTACATAATCGTAGCTTAAAGAAAAATATTAAATTATACATTTTTTTCGATTTTATGTCTCTTTTAAGGTGTGCCGCCTCTTACGGCCAATGAGCTGATCTTTCATAGTGGTGTAGCTGTTGACAAGGCCGGTCGGTTTCTCACCAATGGCGGACGTGTCCTTATAGCGGTGGCACTGCGCAAGGATTTGCGGCAAGCAGCAGCGGATGCCACTAGGATATGCCAAGGTATCACATTTGTAGGCGGAGCGGCACAATTCCGAACCGATATTGCGGAGAAAGCATTCAAAATGTAATTACTCATTTGGCAAAACACATGCTCAAGACGCATCAATAAAAATAAATAAAAATCTTTTATATGAAACTTGAAAAACAAACGATTCAATGGCGTTTCATTTCCTCGGCAGGCTGAAGGCGAACAACGCTCCGATGCTTAAGGGGCTCTCCTACAAGGACAGTGGTGTTGACATAGACGCAGGCGACGATCTGGTGCAACGCATAAAACCGTTGTCGCGCGGAACGCAACGACCTGGCGTCGTAGGTGGTCTGGGAGGTTTCGGTGGATTGTTTCGCCTTAATGAGGTGAGCTAAATAATTTCGCAAAACGCAGGCGCAATGCTGATTTGAATTTATGCCTTAGCTAAACTATACAAATCCGGTTATAAGTGAAGCTATCAATGGTGTGGGCACGAAGATAAAGCTTGCGCTCGAGCAGAAAATGTACGAGAGTATTGGCTATGATCTGCTCGCCATGTGCGCCAACGATGTGCTGGAATCGGGTGCTGAGCCAGTGGCCTTCTTGGACTACATAGCTTGTGGCAAGCTGCAAGTGCCTGTTGCAGCTCAGATTGTGAAGGGGATTGCGGAGGGTTGCCGAGCCGCCGATTGCGCTCTTTTGGGTGAGTTGCGACGTCGATATGTAAGAATTCAGCATCTCAAATCCCGTAATTTCTTCCATACTAGGCGGCGAAACCGCAGAAATGCCCTCAGTCTATGAGGTGGGTAAATACGACATCGCTGGCTATTGTGTAGGCATTCTCGAGGCTGGCAAGGAGTTGCCGAAATTTAAGCAGTACGAGGAAGGTGATCTGCTGATTTCGCTGCCAGCGAATGGACTGCATTGTGCCGGTTTTCATGCATTGCTGAAGCAACTAGAAGCGGCGGACATCGACCTTGCGGAAAAGTGCGAGTTCGGCGATGACACAAAGTCGTTAGGTAAATTATGATGGACTTTGCTTGCGTATTTTGGTCTGCCGTTTGGTTCAGCACACTCACTTTAAAGTGTGGAATAAAAGTAAAATCAGTCTAAGCCCCCGAACTGAGATTTCTCCGTAACTCTCTTTTCACAGGTCAACAACTTTGCGAACCATCAAGGATATACGTTAAAGAAATACTCGCACTCCTACGAGAATGCGATGTCAAAGCTATATCCCATATTGGCACAGGCTTACTACCAGACGTACAACGCATTATACCGCCGGACCACGAGATCTCTCTGGATTTCGGTGATCTGAAAATACCCACTATATATGGTTGGTTAGCGGCTAAGCTGCGTCTGAGTCCGCAGACGCTTTTGGACAACCTAAATTGCGGCATTGGACTCGTGGTGATTGTACCAAAGAAGTGCACCGTTTGGAAATCCCTGCTTGGCGCCGGCGCTAAGGTGTTTGGCGTATTGAAACGTAAATTGCAGACGTGTCACCAAAAACACCAAATCGAGGTACGCAACTTTGTTGAAGGCTTGGAGAAAATCGCAGACCGTTTCGGCGGACTTTCGGAGAGGCATGCGCGCACCTTGGATGAGCCACACCAACGCGATTTAGCATTGGAACTTTGTGATGGAGCCTTAACTCAGCAGCGTAACGGCTCGTTCACAACAAAGCTGGGCAGACGTTTGACGCCCGTGCCACAGACTTACAAGGATCCGGTGTTAGTGTTGGGCACTGATGGTGTGGGTTCCAAAATTAAGATTGCACAGCAAACAGACCGCAATGGCACGGTCGGCGTAGACTTGGTGGCAATGTGCGTCAATGATATACTTTGCAATGGCGCCGAACCGTTGACATTTTCGAGCTATTATGCGTGTGGAGATTTGGTCGAGGAGGTGGCAGCTACAATTACGGGGGGCGTGATTGAAGGTGCATCACAAGCGGGCAGCAGTTTAGTGGGTGAGTAGTTAGAGAAATTCCATCGTTCATTTTAACTCTCAAAATGAAAACAATACCTTTTTTCCCAACAGAGACACACATTGCCGAAGTGCCATTACTTTACGCATCCGATGTTTACGACCTTGCCGGCTTCTCACTCGGTATCGCCGAGTACCCGCGCCTACTGCCACGCACGGATGAAATTCGTGCTGGCGATGTCCTTATCGGTCTTCCGTCGTCGGGCGTACACAGCAACGGCTTCAGCCTCGTGCATGCCATTATGAAACGCGCCGGCGTAACATTTGAGGATAAAGCGCCTTTCAGCCCCTACACATTTGGCGAAGAACTTCTTACACCAACGCGTATTTATGTCAAGGCCCTACTTCCACTTCTGCGTCAGGGTTATGTGAAAGCTTTGGCACACATCACCGGTGGCGGTCTAACGGAAAATATACCGCGCGTGTTACCCAAAAACTTAGCCGTGGAACTAGACGCCACGCAATGGAACATCCCTCCAGTTTTTGGTTGGCTGGCGGCGCAAGGTAATGTTGCGCCTGCTGAAATGCAGCGCACCTACAACTGCGGCCTTGGCATAATTTTGGTGGTCGCGCCAGAACTGGAACAGTCCGTATTGGCAGAGCTGCAATATTGTGAGCGTGCCGCGCACATAGGCGTGGTAGTGCAACGCGCGCAGCCCGAAGCTCCGCAGGTTGTGGTGGAGAACTTCTCACGTTGTCTGAAGCGAGTGCAGGAGCTGCAGGGAAAGCCGCGCAAGCGCGTAGCTGTGCTAATTTCCGGCACGGGCAGTAATCTTCTAGCGCTTATCGATGCTTGTCGCGACACGTCCCAAGGCGTGCATGCCGACATTGTATTGGTGATATCGAACAAGGCGGATGTATTGGGCCTTGAGCGCGCGAAAAACGCAGGCATACAGGCGGTGGTGGTGTCACACAAGCAGTATGCCAAACGGGAGGACTTCGATGCGGAAATGAGCAGAAAACTGGTTGAACATAATGTAGATCTGGTGTGCTTGGCTGGTTTTATGCGAGTATTGAGTGAGCAATTTGTACGCGAGTGGAGGGGTCGATTAGTGAACATTCATCCGTCATTGTTGCCCAAACATCCTGGTTTAAAGGTGCAGAAGAAAGCGCTGGATGCAGGTGACAAAGAATCTGGATGTACAGTGCACTTTGTGGATGAGGTATGGGCATAATTTTAAAAGACTTGGATCGGTTTTGTCTAAGTAGTTTTTCAAAACTTTTTAGGGGGTTGATACTGGCGCCATCATTGTACAAGCGAGTGTGCCCATCCTTCCGAACGATACCGAAGAGACCTTGACAAACCGCATACATATTGCTGAGCACTTTGCATTCCCTAAGGCATTGCGTCTGTTGGCCACTGATGCAGTCAAACTGAGCCAGGATGGCAAAACGACTTTTACCTGATTGTTTTTAAAATTTTCAGTCATACTTATTTAGGGGAGAATAAAAGTATACACTATATGCATTTTTCAGTTAGTAGATATATGTAGATATGTAAGCTTAGGCTACTTTAAAGCACGAATTTGTGGAGCAGCTGCGTAGAGCGTGTCTTTCTTGGTTAAAATTTCTTATACAGTTATAACTTTCGGCCGTATGATATTAGAACACAAGTCCCTATATACATTAAGAATGTAACAGTAATGCAATCTTTTTTTTTAAGGTCTTTGATTGTAATAAAAATTGGCAAGTTTCTGAAACTCGAAATAAAAACGCATAAAGTACACAAATTTTAGCTAAGCAAATAATCAAAAATTTATTCAAAATTCCAATAAAATTTACATATCACTACAGCCTCCAGCGGCCCAACATCACATATATGGTTGGTAATCAAACTTGCCATCGGGTCTATCCAATCTCTTTCGCATTTAAAACAACGAACCTATGAAAGAGAATATATCAGTTTTTGAAACATTTCCAGAGTTTTGTTTAACGCTCGTAGTTTCATCTTGCCGCTTAAAATGCTTCAATGCCTCTGGATCGCTTAGGACTTGCTCAGAAACTTTATCTATATTGACGCGAAATAGTTGATTTTGCAGTATAGGTACGATTAAATTATATTTGTCTATATTTTTGTTAATTAGTTTGACGTCGTCACTATATCGCTTCAATACTTGCTGCCAAGCGCTGCTTTCTTTTTCATTAAGTGGATAATCTCCAAAGAAACATCGCTCTGCACGTAATTCATCGCGGAGTCTTTGAACTGCCTCGCGTATATCGCGTTGTAGTGTTATCCATTCCGGCGTAAAACCGTTGTCAAGTAGTATTTTATTTAATTTGTGCGTTGTAAAATCTAAATAGGGATTTTGTGTTTGCGCGCTACTCAACGGCTTTCCAGCACATCTCAGATTGTCAAAGTCGCCTTTTGCCATGGCCTCTTGAATGAGATCCTCACAAATGCGATCAAAGCCATATTTTGTTTTGATTGCGTGATTTTTATAAAAGGTGCCTTTCTTCATGATTGTACGTTCTCCAGCTTGCGATTTCTCAATGCGATGACTTAAAACACGCTCCTGCGCTTTCATTGCTTTGATTTGTTGGTATTGTTTTTGTCTCTGAAAAGGATTGCCGACACCGACACCATCATAACTAAGGTACTGACGATGTTGCGGCGCTGTATGCTTTATATCAAAAACTTCCTCTTCTTCGTCTTCAAAAATATTCCGTCGATTTTTGGCGAACTTTTCCTGTAGAACTTTGAAAGCCTCGTCTACTTCCTGAAACCGTTCAGCGCTTGCTTCCGGTAGGCCAGAGTCTGGATGGACTCTCTTCACCAAATCGATGTACGCATTACGAACAGTGTTTTGGTCGGCTGCTTCATTGACGCCTAGTATGCGAAAACATTTCTGAAGGCAGAAATGCACAATAGTAAAATTTTTTGTAATTAAGGAATTTTGTTACCTTATATAGTTCCACGCGCTTAATATGCATTCCCCTGCACTGTAAAGTAGCTTTGCGCCAACAAAAACTTGGTAGTAATTTAAATTGGACTCCTACAGGCAGCATTTTATAAAAAAAGACTTGATTTCGGTAAAAAATGGGACTGTTAACAACGGCAATCGAAGGTCTGTGGTTAAACGCTGTTAAATAGCCAAGTTGAATGTACAAAAAATTTACCATTAAATTATTTACTTACGCGTAAAGCTTTGATTCTAATAAGCTCCGTATTTGCTATATTCAAACTTTTTTTTAATCATGACTCAAAATATTTTGTAAATTGAAAAGAAATGATTACCAAGAAGAAATTTATTATTCAAGCGATCCCCAATGTTGATATGCCGCTAATCAAAACAACATCAGCTGATCGCTGAACAGGGCTACACAAATATAGATTTTTTTTTTAAAAACTTATAAAAATTTAAAATAAATGTCATATATATGTAGTACTTTGGTTTAATTTCCTTTTCAATCTTTTTCAGATTTAAGTTGCTTAAAATTGCCTAATATTATCCCAACAAAAAGTATATTTCGAGGATANTGTAGTACTTTGGTTTAATTTCCTTTTCAATCTTTTTCAGATTTAAGATGCTTAAAATTGCCTAATATTATCCCAACAAAAAGTATATTTCGAGGATATAAAAATGAACTGATATTTATTTATTGAGATATTTCGAATGCCAAACAAAGTTCCCCAAAGTAACTATCCTTTTAGCTCTTTCTCTCTTCGAATATATACCTCTATCACCTTCTATTGCCCGCTTTGGCCTTTATCTCAGCTTTCGTACTGTATTTCTTTTTCACTTGCAAACCGAGTACAAATACAAAAAACATAAATTGAAAATCATTTCAGATTCCGATGTCAGTTCAGGTGGAGGCGGAAAAAGTTTTGATTGAGTATATAGGAGAAAATATTTCTGTGCAAATATTTAAACTTTTTAAAATTGTGTAATTATAATTAAAATAGTGTCTGAAATATAAAAAAGTGAGTTTGCAAAGATGTCCGAGAAAAAACGTGCAAGGCGTCGTAAAGATGTAAGTTGGAGAAACGTGTAGGAGGAATTACATTTGGAGAAAATTGTAGACGTGATTTTGCAATCCGAATCAATTTCGTTTGCCATAAAGTACTTGTTTTCATTCGAATGCGTATCCAAAAGTACGACATCTGCAAATGCAAAGATCAATTACGGAAAAATTATTGCGCATATAAATTTCGAATGGGCTAGTGTGGCTTCCACGAATGACCAGATAAATGAAGTATCTCGTCAAACGCATTGAAATTTGGTAAAATAAAGATTTGTGCTCGTTTGTTACTATAAATATTGCTGCAAATATGAGCGAAGTCTAAAATACTTTAATTATGTAGCATTTTCAGGCATTTTCACCTGCTACAGTGTTATATAGGCGTCAATTGCTGCTTATAGTTGCTGGAAAAACATATACATATGTATCCATATATATATGCTGGATGAAATGATTTGTTTTTGCTCAGTGCACATGAAAATTGTTTTTGTTTAACAGGGGGAAGCGGGGAAACGTGCGATTGAGTAGTTGACGTGCCAATTGTGTGGGGAAATCTCGCACTTTTTCACTCACACTTGTTCTTTTTTAATTTGACTGCATATATTGTGCTTTCATTTCTTTAGTACAGCCATAGTTTAGTACATTCATTATTTTGACATTCTGTATTATCTCTTTTCTATGTACCATATGTTATGCGAGGCTGCACAATCAGCTCTGATTAGTATTTCCCCATATAATAGTTTGAATTCCAATTAAACAAGATATGGTTTAACTTTCTTGAATCAGAGTTGCTGCTGACATGATAAGCAGTCTGAATGGGTAGCTTATCTCTATACTTATTTATATTTATTTTCAATCCCGTCAGTATGATTATCCATACTATTGATAAGGCACATTGATTTTGCCACATTTAACATTGTACCTACTAAATTCTAATTTATTTGATCCGCTTTGATACTGACAACTAACATTTTAAACAATAAAAATTGTAGATTAATGTTCAATAACTAAACAAACGAGAAGCGCACCACATAAAATAACATTTGTTTACAAGAAAAATTGTAATTACACATGATTCTATTGATGATAAACCCACTCCAAGGTCAAATTTTGTTACTGAGTAATGTGTAGGTACATATCGCTCATTTGCTACAAGAGTGTCAATCCAAAAAATTTTTGTTGTTAAGTATGTGGAAATTCATAGCTGTATTGATTAACCGCAACTTATTACATAAAAATTGACACTGAAGATGGCACAACGCCGAAACCGGATTGTCTCCAAACCAAATTTGACAAGGGATGACGGAAAATCGTTCCAAATTACATCACACTCCTACCCTGTCGGAAACACCAACAACGAAAATGAGAAAAATTATCTTAATTTTTACTAAGTGAACGTATGTAAACTGTAAACTTTAAACCGTTTTCCCAAGTTTTTGTTTTCCTTGGATTATGATACCCTTGCGGGAAATGAGCGATATGTTGCACTAACAAGCACTGTATGCCTATTTTATAATGAGGGCATTCAATAAGGACGTGCTCGATCGTTAATGATGTTGGGGAGTACCTACCGTTCCGATGTTCGGTCTTGGAAGTGCGCGACTCCAACTGGGTTTGTCCATAGGGACAGGGGTGTTAGTTGACTTGGGCTTTGGGGGGCATGCGAATATTGGAGTTATGGATGACTCCCCGTATGCCGGGCACTGGTTGGGCACGTCTGGATCCAATCTACTCAGGTAGGAATTAAGCCTACTGCAGTAGCCAAAACGAGGTTTTGATAATTTGAAATATTGTTTTGCTGCTTCATCAGCCCTTTTACATTTTGTTTCATTTTATTTTTTAACATTTTATCATACAAGATTTTAAATGTCCATATGTACATAAGTATATCGTTGCGCAAAACCTCGTATGAGAGGCTGTCAAAACTCTATAGGAGAGAGCAAAACTTGACTTATTTCCAAACGGTTCTCTCTTTTATCCCTAATTATCTCTTCTTCTTATATTTAGGTATCGATATTTTAGTATAAGTGGATAAGGGTTTGATGCCAGGAGCTTCCGAAGAGCAAATATCTTTTTTGGCACAAAAGTTAGATACGAGCTTTTGCAGAACCAAGATACGCGGTTTTGACTTTTAACGACGATATGTATTTTTCCGTATTTTAGCTAAATTGGTTTCCACATTCAATTGATTTAGAAGCCATGCTTTGCACACTTGACTTCTGTGTGATCCTCGTTTCAGTTTTGAGATGTGGTAGAAAGTGATGATTCGCAATTACATTTGTAAATATGTATGTATGTACATGCCTAGTATGTACATATTGTAACTGTAGCATGGACGTCATAAGATTCATTAAGTAATTAAAAATTGGAATTTCTAAAGCGTAGAAAGTCGCAATCTATTGGGCTTACTCATACAAAATAAAGTAGGTTTGTAGTTTGTAGAGCTTTATAAATTGACGTTTTCATACATTTTTCAATTTATAAACCTTTTTTAAACCTACTTTATTTTTTATGAATAAGGCCATATGTATGTATCTACATATGTACAATCAGTAGATAATATTACGTTTTCTGTTACTTATTTATTTATTTAGTCAAATGAATACATGATTCTTACAGACAAGTGAATGAAGAAAGCTAAAACTAAAGCTAGGTTAACAATTCATTTAGCGTTTGAATTAAAATTGGCTTAAAGAGTGAAAAGTCTAAAATACCATTTTGAAACTCGACACATTTGAGGGTTCTGACAAAATATTTTATTGCACTTGGAGAATGGCTGACTAGCTTGGTGACGTAGTAAATGATAATCGTTTACAAGTACAACAATCCTCTCCGTGGAGCAACAAAGAAACAGAAGCCCATATCAAAACTAGAAACTTCCAAACTAGTATTCTGTCCAAGAAAAAACAAAAAAATCAAATATTGAGAAACATCATTTAGAGTGGAACTCGTAAATTTGCGATTTTGCCACTTGTGGAAAATATGTTTGTATGATAAAACTTACGAAAAATTTTACGAGGAAACGCTATTGAACACTTTTAGAGTGGTTCAAATTCAACAACTATACAAAACAAACAAACAAATCAACAACTATATAACAAACGTAATTAAAGGCGGATTGATCGTTCTAGTTCTGAACTTTTTCTTGCATGTGGTTGTTATATTTCTCTCTTTGTGAGAGAAACTCAAACAACAACCACATGAAATACTGTTATGACTGGTGTAAGTTTTAAAATTAAAGCTTCTTTTTATTTTTTAATACTTTTCAACAGATTAAGGAAATGTAATCGTTTAGCCAGGGTTACTACTGAACTAGGAATAATTAAGGCATTTTAAAATTTATGTCGTTTTCCTCTATCACATGGAAGGATCCTGCACCAGTTTTTTTTTTGGCAAAATTAGGACTTTGGAGGTCTGACGATCAGAGAGGCCGTTAAATTTTGTTATTATTTCACATACATACATACTATATATAAATTAGTAAAAAAGAGATAATATTTAAAAAGTGCTGTTAAGGAAGAATTCACAAAAATGCCAAATGAAGTAGAACAATACTACTGAAAAATTGTAAGTGTGCTGTAAAAGACCATATGGAAGATGGTGAGTAGTTGTTCATAATTAATTTAAAATTAATGTTATTTTTCATTTTGTTACTGGATACATTTTAAAGGGATACTTGGGAAGCAGAGTAGAAAGATACTTTTGATGAAACTAGGACCATACAATTAATGGCACAACTGCGCTATCAACAAATATGTATCTCAATTAAAATTATAAAAGAATAACCACAAACAACAAACACAAGTGGATTTCTACAGTTAGCCTCTGAAACTAAATCAATTTCACACGATTCGCCTGAGAAACTTTCTTCGCGAATATAAATATATTTTCGGTTCAGTTTTGGCATTTCAAAATAAAATTGGTTCGGTTCAAATCCCGAACAAAAGCGATGGTTCGGTTAAAAAACCGGTTCGGTTTAAAACCGATTTGCAGCCCTGGTAGAAATACAAACAATAGTGGTATTAACCAAATTAAGCAAGTGGCCTGGCACTCTGGCAAAACAGCAGATGAGCTCAAGCAACCACTGTTGACGGCTGTTATTGCTCGAGCTAATCTGCTCTTTTGCCAGACTGCCACTTGCTAATTTTGGTGAATAACACTCAATGCCGGAACTTCAGAGAATCGTTCTTTTTAAAACTCGTCAGGGCATATCTCGAAAATGACATCTGCAGTTACATATATCTACATATGCTTAAGGTTCGCATCTTATTTCGGTCAAAACTGTATATTGTTGCGTAAAATTCCGTTTCATAGTATCTCCATTTCAAAAAACTCAGTATGACTAGATATTACCTATTTTTAAATCATTTGTCAATAAAATGACACGGTCTAAGAAAAGCCATGTAAATCATATTCTCTAACGTGAGTACAAAAACTAGAAAAAATCAACAAGTTTGCACAACAATACCGTTGATTTTTAAAATTTTTAACCGAATTAGTTCGTCGGAATATTTTTTTTTACCGATTTCGATAATTCTTTTTTCATTGGAAAGGTGGTCCAATACTAATTTTGTTTAGATCCGATAATTGGATCGTAAAGAAATTAACGATAATCTTAAACTTTTATATGAGAATTAAAGTCGGTTTTGTTTTTTCGCCTAAAAATTACTTGTTTTTTTTGCCGGTGGTGTCGCGCATTTTCTTCCATATAAAGGTGCTATGTTCGACAATTTTGCATTTTTTTTTTTNGTATGGAAGAAAATAATATAATATTTAGGTTTTTAAACAGCTTTTTCCAGAACAAAATTTGTGTTTAAATGGCAGAAACCTACTTTATAAAACGGCCCTAAGTATTATATAATTAACTAGAGATGAATAAAAAGTAAATAAACATTCAAAAAACAAAAGAAAAATAGTCATATCCAGTTTTATAACGTGTTTCGACGAATTCGCTGTTAGCTTATATTGTTTTCTATCAACGACTGGTTAATTTGCTTATACTACTACTGTGCTTAAAAATTTAGGTAGCAGAAAAAGTACTTTTCTCATATAAATGTTGTATTTTGGAAAAAAGCAATATCTATTTTTGAAGGTCAAAAAATGTACATATAACACTGCGGAAAAAATTATATGTAGATGCGGTGAGACTCGCATATGTGCGTGATCGGATCCGACAGGATATTTAAGAATCTACAGGAAATTTTTCACCCACATCAGCCATAATAAGAGGAACAAGAGAAATGTACACTTTCAGCTCTGTCATTTCTTGTTGTTGTCGTTGTAACAGCATAAATATTCCCCAAAGAGTTTTTGGGGAGTGATGCTGGAGTAACAGTCCTTGGTCAGATATAAATCTGAGACGTTCCGGTTATGTAGACCCGTGTGTCGTGGGCACGGCATTTCTTCACCGGAGCCAACAGAGCACATCAACGTGTCACTGTCCACGCTAATCATCTCAGAGAAGGGGTAATAAATGGGTATGATTATTCCTCTTCTTAAGCCTGGAAAGAAGGTGACTAGAGATGGGTACGGGACTAGATATTCAATCCTGACCCCGCCCAGCCCGAAATTCAACCTTTAAGTCCCGAAATTTTTCAGATTTGCACCGCGGGTCTTATGGATCCCGAAATCTATCACCTAGATTAATTCACATGTCTCAAATTAATTTTTATTTAAAAAATAGTAAAAGTACTGGGATCTTCCGATTATTATTTTTGCTTTGCTATTCGTTTTCGTCTCAATAAAACATAAAAAAGTGCTTATATCATGAAATGGTTTTAAGGAAAATTTTCTGAATTTTCGAAGGTTGCGGGTTTTATTGGGCATGTCTGGAAAACATTTTTGGTCGCGTCCCGCCCGCTAAATTTTTAAAGACCTACCCCGTACCGCCCATTTCGGCCATTGTGAAATCAGTACCCTAGGTCCCGCGGGTCCCTATATCCCGCGCCCACCTCAAGTACAGACCCACTCCAATTCTCAGTGGGAAATTCCATGTAAACACTCCTAGTCCCCAGCCCGACTAAGCTTCCAAAATTTTGAATCTACGTTGCCTTTATGATAAAACGGATCTAGAGCGGCAGATCTTGCGACCCTTGACAAAATCTCCTAGATTCGTCGTTGCCAGATCGGTCGACACGGTGGATAACCAACCACCTATGTGGGCTAATATCATCAGTTAAATTGCGAAACGCTAAATCGAAGTCGCGTATAAATAAGAAAGGGGCCCCTTAAGGTGGAGTACACTCCTTGGCGTTGTTTGACCACGACATAGCCAAACTCGCTTCGCGACCAGCTGAAGTCATCTTAGTGAGCTAACATTGGTCGCCCCTCGGCAGACAGTGGCAAATATTTGAACGTATTTCTGCCTTTCTGCGAAGTATTATTGCTATTATAATAAGTGAACAAACCTCTCGCTTGCCGTTTCTTTTTTATGATTTTCCGCATTATTCTCTCCACAGAACAAGCAGTTTCGAGCACTTATCGCTTTCAGCTAAGCTTGTTTGCTATGAGCAAATTCACTTTTACAAATATTTAAACCGCTTCTCAGCTGTTTCTGGTTACTTAAACACTTGTTGTCATCCATCAGAAGACGTTTTCATACTCGTTGCTGCTGAAACGTATTTTTATGTGTGTGTTTTTTATGTTTTTGCTATATTTGTGGTTTTTGTTATGATTACTCGCAAGCGTATTGCTTTGCTTGTTGTTTTTGTTGCTATAAGAGAAAGTTGCTCCACTGACGTGACTGGCTTGTTGGTTGGCTGATCGCATGTCTGACCAGTTGTTCGCTTCTAGTCAAGTTTTCATATGAATCAGTATATTGCTAGAGTTGGTGAGNTTTTTGCTATATTTGTGGTTTTTGTTATGATTACTCGCAAGCGTATTGCTTTGCTTGTTGTTTTTGTTGCTATAAGAGAAAGTTGCTCCACTGACGTGACTGGCTTGTTGGTTGGCTGATCGCATGTCTGACCAGTTGTTCGCTTCTAGTCAAGTTTTCATATGAATCAGTATATTGCTAGAGTTGGTGAGCGATTCAACGCCGTGACGCAGAAAAAAGTTACGCTTTACGACGTGGTTTGTTTGAAAAAATCTTTAAAATAAATCAAGTAGATAGAAGCAATAAGAATAAACGTCCCTATTGCGAATAACATACATATCTATAAAGAACATTATTCGTAAAATAATTTGTTCACATAAATGGAGGAAGAAATACACAGTTGCGAAGAGGAGCAAATGGTGGAGGACGATGGTCATGTTAGTAAACTGCGTAGCAAATAATATATAAATATTTTTTGTTTATCCACCAACTTTATATGTATGCCAAAAGGGAAAAGTTGGGGAAATACCGAGCTTTTCATGTGATTTCATTTTCCTGGTTTTGCTGTAGTAATAATTCGGTCGTAAATTTAAATGACTTTTCCAGTCCAATATGTTTATTACGTCGTTTGAAGCTAGAAATACTTTGCTAATCTCTTACAGCGTGTTATTTGCATTTACGCCTGCTGTAGCAAGCTATCAATATGTAGCGCAATGATTGTATGTATAAAAAAAGTAGCTTCTACTATTTTTCACTTACATATTTTTTACATATGCTGCTTTCTAAACCTTCTACATTGTTGATGTTTCAACTACCGAGGCGCTTGCAAACTTTAAAATCGGTTTGAATTCGGCTAGAAAGTACCACGCCACGGAATTGCGTGCCCATATGTGAATCGCTTAGTTGGCACCCAAGTGGGGTATTCACACACTGCCTAACACTCACAATGACATCATATTCGCCCGCCAGTTAATAAGCATTCAACTATTAATAATAATAGTAGAGAAAAAAACTGGTAATGCATTTGTATGCATTGAAGGTTAGTTAGTGTGATTCGAAGTACCTGCTGATTTAGGGTTCGATTTTATGCATACACATATGTATACCACAATATAGCATAGTCAGACCCTTTTCAGACCAGTCAAGTCTTGCTTTCAAGTCTGCTCGCTTCGTAGGCGAAGGAGGTGAG